AGCGGGGGCGGGGCAGTCATTTGCAAGGAAACAGGCATCAGGTAGGAATAGGATTATTCAACAGCTACAGTGAATGTTAGAGATCAATAAAATAGTGCCTTCAAATATTTGAAGGAATATTAAGGTTCAGTCTAGACTTCAAATCCCAGCCAAATTATGACTCCAAGGAGTGGCTAGAATAAAGACATTTTCAGAAGGGTAAGAACTCCAAAATATTACCCATTTCTTCTTTTTAAAAGACACTGGAGGAGGAACAGCATGAACCTGAGTCTTGGTTTCTTGCCTTCCTCCCTGGACAATGAGTTTCAGCACAAGCTCCACCTTTTCCACCAACTACTGGACCCTGGGCTCCATACAGTCACCCAGCCACCAGGCCCAGCTGGCCAGCAGTGTGGCCAGAGCCTATATATGCACTGGGGGCTCGGGCTCCCAGGTCTCCATGGCCCACTCCACCAGCATGTGGGGCGGCTAGGGGTCCAGGGTCCTGGCTGCAGAGATGCCCCGGGGTCTGGCAGGCATAGGGGACATCCAGAGAAAGAAAGAGACTATTCAATACCTGGAGAGGGTGAGTAGCCTGGAGGTTGATAATAGAGGAGACTGGAGAGCAAAATCCAGACACACCTGGAGAAGAAGGGACCCCAAGTCAGAGACTAGGGGGCATTACTTCAAGATCCCAGAGGACCTGAGGGCTCAGGTCTTTCCAAGTTCTGTCGGCAATGCCTACATCATTTTGCAGATTGACAATGCCTATCTTGCTGCTGATGACTTCAGAGTCAAGTATGAGATGGAGCTGGCCATGCACCACTCTGTGGAGAGAAACATCCAGGGTTCCAACAGGTCACTAATGACACCAATATCACTCAGCTGCAGTTGGAGACAGATCAAGGCTTTCAAGGAGGAGCTGCTCTTCATGAAGAAGAACTACAAGGAGGAAGTAAATGGTCTACAAAACCAGATTGCCAACTCTGGGTTGACTGGGGAGTTGGATGCCTCCAAATATCAAGACCTCAGCAAGATCATGACGAACATCCATGCCCAGTATGACAAGCTAATTCGGAAAAACCAAGAGGAGCTAGACAAGTACTGGTCCCAGCAGATTGAGGAGGGCACCATAGTGGTCAACACACAGACTGTCTAGACAGGAGCTGCTGAGATGATACTCATGCAACTGAGACATATGGTTCAGTCCTTGGCGACTGACCTGGACTTGATGAGAAATCTGAAGGCCAATTTTGAGAACAGCCTGAGGGAGGTGGAGACACGCTATGCCATGTGGATGGAACAGCCCAATGGGATCCTGAGCAGCTGGAGGCAGAGCTGGCTCACACCTGGGCAGAGGGGCAGCACCAGGTCCAGGAGTACCAGGCCCTGCTGAACACCAAAGTCAAGCTGGAAGATGAGATTTCTACCTACTGCTTTCTGCTGGAAGAAGGGAAGGACTTTGATTTTGGTAACAACGTGGACCACAGCAACTCTATGCAATCCATCCAAATGACGACCACCTGGATGATGGTGGATGGCAAAGTGGTGTCTGAGGGGCACCCCCTAGGGGGACAGTAGGCCAATGAAAGTTCAGAGATCATTGAACATTAAAAAAAAAAGCAATTGGAAGATTTTCAACTCTCTTAATGGCAGGCTAAATCAACCCTTCCATTGAGGTCAACTATAGGAAAAACTACATAACATATACCTATTTATTTAATACTAGAGGCCTGGTGCATGAATTCATGCACCAGTGGGTTCCCTGGACCTGGCCTGCGGGATCAGGCCAAAACCGGCTCTCTGACATCCCCTGAGGGGTCCCAGATTGCAAGAGGGTGCAGGCCAGGCCAAGGAACCCCACCAGTGCACGACTGGGGCCAGGGAGGGACGTGGGAGGTTGGCCCTCTGGGGAGGGACCGAAGGAGAGCTGCAGAGTGTGTCTGGCCCATCTTGCTCAGTCCCAATCAGCTGGACCCCAGCAGCAAGCTAACCTACCAGTCGGAGTGTCTGCCCCCTGGTGGTCAGTGCATGTCATAGCAAGCGGTTGAGCAGCCTTAGCATATCATTAGCATATTATGCTTTGATTGGTTGAATGGTCAACTGGATGACCGGACACTTAGCATATTAGGCTTTTATTATATAGGGTTATATATGTTTAAGTATGTATAATATATAATATATTAAACATATAATTAAATATATATTTTATAAATATAAATACAATATATATTTTAATTTTTCTTAAAAGCATCAAAGAGCTGATAAGACAGTGAAGGATTTTCACGCCAAAATTTGGATGAATATGAGAAGCAAGTACTCAAAGCTGCCTTTGCCCCAGTCAGGAAGAAACAGCTGCAATGTGGAGCTGTGGTATTTGGCAGCCTCACTGGCAAAACAGATAAAAGGGCCTGCCAAGTGGAGAGTCTGATAAATACTCACACAGTAAGTTGAGGTCCTGAAGAGCTTTACTCTTAGAGCAAGCTTCTCAAATCTGTCTGCACATTAGAATCACTGGAGAGCTTCTAACAATTCCAAAGCACAGGCCACCCCACAGACCGATTAAATCACAGTCTCTGGGGTGGGACACCGGCATTGGGGTATTTTGAAGTTCCCCAGGCAATTCCAAGTTGCAGATGAGTTGGGGAACCACAGCCGTGAGAGTGAATGGGCGGTAACATTGTCCTCACATGGGTGACTCAGAGAGTCTCAAGTCTGGGACTTCAATTACAGTGGTCCCTGCGTGTCAGCTGCAAATGAAAATGCTCTGTGGGGCATTATGTTCTCATCCTTGGCCTCACATTATTTCTACAAATAAAATTTCAAATGCAGTGTCATAGCATAAGGTCCCTATGAGTGAGAAACAGGGGGATAAAGACAACAGTCACAAACCCACAAAAG